ATTTGTATATAAAGTTGTTTCATTTTCTGATATTTGATGATAATTGGTTAATAGTAATATAACGAAAATGCAAATAATTCAAACTTTATTATTGTTGTTTTTATATAAGGTGACGATAATAATAACTTTCTAAATTTTAGTACATCATACAAAATATTCAAGTATTTGAATTTTTAAATGAATACTATCATTATTTACATATTTACACCATTTCATTTTTCGAGGACCAGGGGCCAAGAAGACTGGTCCTTGAGCTGGTCTTTCTAGGGCAGATCCAACATACTCTGCGACTGGATAAATAAACTAGGCTTGTGCGATTTCATAGAATTATCAATGTAATGACAAAGTACATGATACTGTCGAGCATATCAACCCATCATGTGTTTCATTCAAGTGCGGCTACACTATAATAATAAAGCCTCGGGTTTCTCATTCTCATTCCACTTTACCAACTTTCTCAAGAACCTACACGCGCACGCAAACCATCAACACAAGTCAATGTATATATACAGAACAACACTTATTCGACACACTCCTAATATCGAAAAGATACTGGCTAGAGAAATTTAACAAAATAATTGGTCATTCATTACAATTGAGACGACACTAACCATTCCCACCAAAAATGAATCTTCTCACATCAAAGAATATGTACCTGGCCATAAAAGAATAAAAAACGTAGTCAATCCACAAAATGGACATCGACAATGCATGCATTCAAGGCTATGTCTACAATATGAACATCTGTATTGTCGCAAACATGTTATATATAGCTCAAAATTATTGGGAAAAGTTGTAGAAATGATTATCATGTCCTCTGATTAAAAAAGAAGTTTTACAAAATAAGATAACTAACTTGCAAGAGAAAGTTAAATCTGTCTGTCGAACAAGGAAATTAGTCCACCACTAGGATGAAATAAATTCCAATATTAGATTTTCCCTAGTGCCTTGTAATTTATAAAGCATTTCACGCATATCGAATGCATTATCAGATGCGTTTGTAACTTTTATTTATATTATTATTATTATTTTATATCATTCATTGGCTATTAATAAGTGATAAATTATTTTGCCTCCAACTACTCCTATTATTCAAATTAACTAGTGGTTGCAACGGCTATATTCTTCGATTACCAGAATGTTTGATTTCTGGTTTTGCTCTACAGAAAATATATATATATACATATATATATATCTTAATATGTATATAGTGTATGTATATGTAAGTTATAAAATAATTTATAAAACAATTTAAATTTACACGTTATTACTATCGATTGGCGTTGATTCAACCAATGAATCAACGAAAATAATAGTACAAAGTAAAAAAGTCACAAAAGTTGTAGAGATAAATTTCATGGCTTAATGTTTGTCGAGTGAACGAATGAGCGAATGTTGGAGAGAAAGTAGTGATTGGTAAAAGTTAAATTTACTTGATTTAGAGTTACAATTATTTATAAAAAATATTTCCTTCGATGTTAACAATAATTATTATTAAAAATGGGAAAATGGTATATAGTCTTTCTACATAATCTGATGTCTTTGTCGCTAATACTAATTTTTATACTGATTCAAATGGAGATATCCAAATTCGAAAAACAAAAACAAAAAAATAATCTAGATTATTCAACAATAATTATATTAATTAACAATGAATAACATTATAGTAATAGTAACAATAATAATCATTAACATAATAAGAAAAGGACAAAAATCAATCCGGTGCAACATTCAATCAGGATTAATTGTATCATATAGTCTCTATTACTATTGATCATGATGTGATCGTGCCGAGTGGAGACATGGCATGTTGATGTCGAAAAAAATTAAACTTGATTTTTGTGGAAGGAATTTTCTATTTTCGAGTATGTTAAATTATCTGTTCTTTGCTAATTCAAATTACTAACGAAAATGATATGTGTGTGCGTGTTTGTGTGTGTGAGTTCCTTCCCCTGTTATTATCAAGAAAACTTTTATAAGGTAAAAAAACAAAAGGCATCCTTTGTTCATTTCAATATCATTCATAAATAACGAAAAATTCACTATTGGTCTGAATCAACGTTTTTAATTATGATGTATCACAATATATTACGAAAGACAAAATTTCTTTAATTGTGGGCAGGCTTGCCGTGAAAGATGGAATGAGAGATATTGAACGTGTCATTTATGTTATTATGTGCTATTATGTTTGCTAATAAGAAAACTTGTTTTCATGACCACACATTTTTTTTTTCACACATAATCTGATTGATTGTTGATTGGCAAATAAATAGTTGGGAAAGAATTAATAAAACGTCACGATCACACGGATCATGTAAGATCGTAAGATAAAAACCGTCCAGGCCATTTAACCAAGCACAGGACAGTTGATGTGTAGTCACGTTACAACAAAAATCCGTTAAACAACCCATTACTCAGTTTTTCTTTTTTATCATTATAAAAATTTTGGGGTGCGACTAAATCATAAAAAATCATAACCTTAAAATTAAAGAGAAATCAGAAGGTAAATTTCCAGGTACGTACGTATATAATGCAAACATTTGATTTTATTGTGGTATTTGCGTCATGTTATATTTTCATTTGATTATTTAAATTTTTCGTCCAAATATTTTTTTACAATTCTTTCAATATAATTTTCACCATTTTCATTACTACTGCTACTATTAATGCTACTGAATAATTTTGATTCAATTAATTTTTCAACATATTTTCCCAACATATCCACTTCAAGATTCACTTTATCACCAATTTTTTTAGTTGGCATGATAACATTTTCTTGAGTATAAGCAACCAACATTACACTAAACCAATTTTCTTGATTATTTACTTCACATACTGTCAGCGAAGTACCATCAACGCAAATATAACCTTTTGGTATAACATATTTTATATGTGATGGATCTATCAATTTCAATTTATACCATAATGAATTATTTTCTGGTTCAATGGAAATTATTTCTGCTGTTGTATCAACATGTCCTTTTTTTTTTTAGAATTTATTTTTTAATTAATATTGTAAAATATTATTATTATTTAATTGGTTGATTGGTTAGACTTACTTGTACAAAATGCCCACCAAATTTATCATTATATGATAAAGCCCTTTCTAAATTTACTTTGTCACCAACTTTCAACTCTCCAAGATTTGTTCTTCTAAGAGTTTCAGGTGAAAGTCCAACTTTAAACCATGAAGCTGAAATATCAAACTCTGTCACAGTCAGACAAGTCCCTACAAGAGAAAATTTAAAATAATAATTAACAATAATAATAAAAACCCAAATTGATCAATTAATCTATCGTTCACAAATTATGATTATAAAATCACACAAACCATTGACAGAAATACTATCACCATTCTTACAATCAACTAAAACAGGTCCAGCTTTACCGATTTTCATTGACCAACCACCTCCACCACTAATTGAATTATCTAAAGCTAAAATTTCAAGTATTTCTCCTATATGTTCTACAATACCTGTAAACATTTTTTTTATACAATTAAGAATAATAATAAAATAATTATTTAAAATCAGTGCAACATACTTTGTAAGAATTTAGAAAGGATTGGCAATATTTGATATAATACCATCTCTCTCTGGAAATTTTCGAAAAGAAAAGGATAAATAAATAAAAAAACTGATCATTGATCATTTTTTCATTGTCAGTTGTAATTCATTTAACTAAATCAAACCCTTTCCAGAAATACTTTCCCCACCACTAAACAATTCGGTATTAATTCATTATTGTCAAAAAGGAAATCAATCAAAAAATGTAAAGAAGATGCTTATTTGTTATGTTAATATTTAAATAACAATGCTTTTTTTTTTGGAAAATGTAAGGAAAGTACTTTCCCTGCCACTAAAAAAACGTAACAATCCGGTGTTGATTTTAATATTATGCCTTCTTTGAACTTCTCCTACCATACTTTAAATGTAAAAAAATGATATAAATCGTGGTAAAATGTTATATATATAATAATAATAATAATAATCGTGATAACGTGTTCTGTTCTTGTTTTATTATTATTAAAAACGTAACTTCCACCGAAGGAACGATCAGCGGAAGAAAGAAACACCTTATTTTGAAATTTACGGCAGAGAAAAAAATTTCCTTTTCAGAATGCATTTGCTCTGACTGTTCATAAAATTCAGTGATTTGACATAACATTGAACGTTGACGAAAATATGTTTCCTGTACGTTGCACCCTGATTAGAAAAACTACAGACCGTTGATTTGAATTATTCTCAATTAAAAATTTCTAGGGCAGTTTTAGAAGAGTACAAAAGATCGGAGACCGCGAGTATTGATGGATTGCAAAACTAACAACGTTGTAAAAAAAAAATCTTGTTTTATGTATATATTCATTTAGCCAATCATCGTCGATCATTACAGTATTTGGAAAAAATCCTGACTAATGTTATGGGAGTTTCATTATTTTGGAAAAGACGCGCGTTAGAAATACAATATTATTATATTAATATACAAAAATGTCGTCAAGTAGTAAAGAAACTCAACAAGATCTTACTGCTACAATACAAAAACAAACACAACAAAAATCTAGTGGAAGTTCACGTTCAGAAAAGTTGAACCAAATTTTAGAGAAATGTTTATCAGAGACAATTGACAATTTCACGTAAATTTTTAGCAAGCATATTTAAATTATTAAATCTCATCTTAACAAGAGAAGCATTAACGTTATGTGTTAATATCTTAATCGTATAGTTACGAGAAAGTCTCTGGATGTTTTCCAACTTTAGCTAATAATAAACCTAAAAGATTAGAGGCTGCTCATAAGCAAGTCACTACATTCCTAAGAAAAGTTTCAGAGGTTTTAATTAATTTTATTTTAAATATATGTGTATGTATATATATATATATATATATATATACATGGTCATCGATGTTTATTTATTATTGATATTCTTAATTAAAGAAAGAAATCAATTCTATCTTGGAGAATCATAAGGTTTTAAAGAAACTTGATGAATTAGATGAAATGATCAATGAATCGAAAAAATCGAATAATTCTTTTCCATCCAATGAGTAGATTTATCATTTTTTTAATTTTTACATTAATTATTGATTTTTCTTCATTTTTATAATTATTTTATTCTTGTTAAAGTTATAGAGAGATAATGACACCACAATCTAGTATCAGAGCAAAAACTTTACCGACGAAACAAGAAGAATTGAGACGTTTAGAAAATGAATTTTTAAAGGTTTGTTCACATATTGTTTTAATTAATCAAAATACCCCATATATCTATCTGTCTGTCATATTATTAACAATTCATTCATTAGATAAACAATGAAAATGTTTCATTATGTTTAGAAATTGAATCAATCCAAGAACAATCAGAATCAAAAATAAATAGTCTGAAAAATTTAATTGAACCTTCCAAACAGGTTGATCGGGTTCGTATTATTATAATAATTATAATGATGATAATGTCAATACAATATAATACGTAATATGTATTATTTACAATATATTATATTATTTTAGATGGATGAGATGGAAAAAGGAATGGAAAAACTCATAAATTTGATTATTATACACGATAAATCTATTACCTTATAATCGAGAAATCCCAAATCTTGATATTTTTTTTAATAGCCCATCTAGTGCTTTGTCTTTTCCAATAAATTTCTTGCTCACAATCTCAATTTAAGAGGTTTGGGTCCTTTCCAATTGTTCATCAACAGATCCAAAGTACCATCAATATCGACCTCATCGTCAAAAAAGTGGATCCTTTCTGCAAAAACAACAGTATCCAAATATTTTGATAACGCTTGATTTAACACCTTGAGTATCCTATTGCCATCTAATGTATAATCTTTATATAATTTATCAGATACAATATGCTTCAAATAAGTACGGTTAATGAATATTTCTACATTTAAATCGGCAATTTTTCTATTAGACTTGGTAGACTTTGTTAAATTGGATGGAAGAAATTTTGCACTTAAATGTGTACCACTTGATGTTCAAAATCTAAGAAGTCAATCGGGGGAAATTGTAAAAATTTCTAAATTTGGAAACGATGTGTATTTGAGAAATTAACATACTTTTTTTAGATAAAGAATGGTGTAACATATCAAAGAAAACCTACCTCGGTTACACGACAAGGTTTTTTTAAGATAAGATTTCCTTATTTTCTACCAATCATGTTGGGATTTGTGTAACCGAGGTTGTATGTTAACCTTTGAATTTTTTGTGCCTCAATTAGTGTGCTCATCAAAAAATGGGAGCACCATTTTTATTTTTAGGATTGTATGAGCTCGTGAGAAAAGTTCCGACATGATATCACGTTGCATTGTCTTGCCTCTACCGCCTGATATATTATCTGAGAAAATCAAGGACAATTTTTTAAAAAGATTCTGTTTAATGTTCCAAATGTTATCTTTATTTCATAGTTAATGATAATGCTTTTACTTTTATTTCCATATGATCTATCTATCAGATATCCTTTCCCTCCTCCTAATTAATTCTCTGGTAAAATATTGCGACTGACAAAGTCATTCTCATGAAAGTAGCTTCCTCGTAGCTCTATGCACCGAAAGTTTAGAGTTTTTTTTTTATAAAAATAATTGATCATCAAAATTCTTTTATTTTACATCTATATATAGATAAAACCAAACTATACTGCTTATTTTTTATTTTTGAACGAGAAAATGAGTAAAACAACAACTGAAAAAATCTTTGGTTTACCTTTAAAATATGTTAGTTTAATAACTCTATGCGTTCAGAATAGTGCGTTGGTCATTGTGATGAGATATTCCAGACTTGACCAAGACAAGTCGACACTATACTTCACATCGACAGCAGTATTCTTGTCAGAACTGACAAAGCTTATCATATGTCTTTGCATGGCATTGGATAATCAAATTGAAGAGAGAGGTTATTGGAGTCTCAGAGTGTTGTATGACGATGTGTTTGCACCTGATGCTTGGAAATTGGCAATACCAGCCATTTTATATACCATCCAAAACAACTTACAATATATTGCTGTCAGTTTATTAGATGCGGCAACCTTCCAAGTCACCTATCAACTGAAAATCTTGACCACGGCATTATGTTCGGTGATAATGTTGAATACTTCCTTAAGCGGCATGAAATGGTTTTCATTGGTATTATTGACATTTGGAGTTACGTTGGTGCAATTCAAATACGATAGTGATTCAGCATCCAAGGAAGATGAGAACGTGATAGTTGAAAGAATTTTAGGATTGAGTGCGGTGGCGATCGCATGTGTGATTTCAGGTATAGCTGGTGTGTATTTTGAAAAGGTGTTGAAAGGTTCCAAGGCGTCGGTCTGGATACGTAATGTACAATTATCATTTTTTTCGTTGTTTCCTGCGTTGATTCTTGGAGTTTGGTGGAAAGATGGTGATGGCGTGTGGGAAAAAGGGTTCTTCTACGGTTATAATTCGACGGTTGTTGGTGCTATAGCATGTCAGGCAATCGGTGGTATAATAGTAGCAATGGTGGTGAAATACGCAGACAATATTCTCAAAGGATTTGCAACCTCGATTTCAATAATTTTGTCGTTCATAGCATCAGTTTATCTATTTGATTTCATCGTCACTTCCACGTTTTTGGTTGGTTCAACATTTGTGTTGATTGCAACCTACTTGTACAGTAAGCCTGATCAACCTGTACAACCTAAACAAAATACCGATGGTGGCAATAATAATAATGATTCAACAGTTTCTACTATTCCCGTTGTCAACACTGATGAAAAGTTCGATGATAATAGTAATAATGATAAAGATAAAGATTACGGGTATGATTATTCAAACGGAAAAACAAATTTTGCTGGTTATGCACCACTAAATAACTCTGATAGAACTGTTTCAAAATAATGTAGTAAGAAAGAAATAAATCATTATTTGTAATTGTTTTATTATTTTTGGTCATATCATATACATTAATAAAATCATTGTTGTTAATAATATATTTATTTATTGCAAAGTTTTAAAGATTAATGATGTAAAACCCCTTCAAAAAAGATAATTGCTATGGAGTTATGAAATTAACTAATTATTTTTATTACTAATAATATACAATATAACAAACTAGATTTTTTATAAATTAATTTTTTTGATAAATAATTATTCACTCGCCTCTCATTTTTTAGGTCTACCACGAGCTCCACTTAGTTTAGTAGTAATTGATTTTTTATTAGTAGATGTTTTTGATTTCTTTGATTTATCATCAGTTTTATCATCACCAATCTATAATTAGTGAATTATAAATATAAATTATGGAATTATAAATATAATAAAATTATTTTCTCCAGAAAAATTTCCTTATTACCTTGTGTTTGGTAGAAGATTTTTTATTAGTACTTGGTGTAAAATAGTTCTCCATCCTTAATTGTGTTGTAGCTTTAATATTTTTTGCCAATTTGGCCACACTTTTACGAACACGTTCTTCACTATTAATTTTAATTGAAACGTTCCGATTGAAATTTTGTTTTTTTCTAAAAAACATAAAATAAATATGATTTTATTGATATCTATCTACCTGAAATTCTTTTGATGTACCAAAAAATCAACAATACCCTCAACATCGGGAGTTTCCCATTTAATCTTTTAAATATTTACAATCACAATAATAAATAAATCTTTTCTTTAAAAAAAAAAAAGGATTTGGATTAATCAAATTAATCAAATTACCTCGATCTCATTTGGATCTTTTACAACTGGTTTTTTGAATAATTCACGTACTTCTTTATATGGCCAGTCTTCTGGTATTGTATACCTCTTGGGATCTAAATTTTCTATGATTTCCTCTAAACTTCCATGCTTTTTAATAAGTTCTACGGCACGATGAGGGCCAATTCCCTTGATCGATTCGCAATAATCACATCCCAGCAAAATACAAAGATCGATAAACTTTTGTACGTATAAAATGTAGGTGTAAAATATTGTCGATATTTGTAATATGTATATAATAAATTCAATTGATGGATTAGTATTTAATGCTTGATGTTGGATGTTTAATCTTTTTTTAAATTAATTACTTGATCCATTGAAACTTCAAGTCCTTCGATAACTTTATTAAGATTAATTTCATCAATTGGTAACTTCCTACTCTCACTAAATGTTAAATGTCGCAATAAAATAGGCGATGAAAATGTTAATGTATCCATATCTTCTGATGCTGCAGCATAAACCTTAAAATGTATTTATAGGTTCATATATTTATATATTTAGTTATATTTATAATTGTTTATGTGAATAAAAAAAATCGATTTGAACTTAATTACTTACTTTTCCTGCTTTAGCTAGAGCTGCACATTGTGCTTCTGCTTCGTACGGCGCCTTTAAAAAAAATTACATACACATTATATTAAAAGGTATTTAAATGTCATTGGAAAGAATGGCTCATCAAATAAGTACCTCTACATATGGGATTCCCATTAACCTTAACAATTGTTTACATTCGTCATTGTGTTGAGGCGTAACTTTTACAGTACGACGACTAAATTTATCAATATCATCAACTTCACCTATATGGATATATATATATATATAAATGTGGAAATTATTCATTATTATAATGATGATGATAATGACCAGTTTCAAGTGCTTCATCAAGATTTCTGTTTGCTTCTTTTCTACGCTCTAATCTTTTCGCAAGCTGTTTATTTATAACAAATTTATTTTAATAATTACTTTTTTTGGGGGAATGAAAATTTCTTAAATTTTTCTTTACTAACTTGTCCAGATTTTAAAACAGGTGATTTACCGTCAAATACATAACAAGGTTTAATTCCATTTTCCACCATTCGAATTGTTCGATAAAATAATCCCATTAAATGACTATACAATCAAAAAAAAAAAAATCAAATTAATTAAAAAAACTTTGATTTCTCAATATCTACCAATCAGTAATAACGATCAATAACACCTTGTAGTTTCACCAGCTTCTGTAGTTAACTGTTGTCCATCTTGTTGTCTAACAGCGATTAAGAACTGATATATTGAAATTGAGGCATCAATTGCAACTTTACGACCAAAATAATTTTTAATTTCGTTAGAAGTAATTGCAGCTGGACAATTATCACCTATCACTTTAATAAGACCCTGAATGCCCATGTTTATTAATGCTTTGAAAACGCGTAAAGGAAATTATTTATTAATTATTATTAATCATGAAATAATCGAATTCTATTTTGGGAAAAACTCTTTTATTGATTGATCACATGATGATGAATAATTTAGGCACGTGTTTAAAATTTTCAAAAAATTAAAAATGAATAAATCATAAATAATTCTTATCTAGTACTAGAAAGAGTAAAATAGAGAAAGAGAAAGAGCTAAATTGAAAGTTTTACAAAAAAAGATTTTTCTTTTTTTTTTTACATATATATAAAAATAATATGCTAAAATAATAAAATACTTTTGTATTTGACTCCTGATAATCTAAATTAAGAGTAAAATAATAATTAATAAGAAAGAAATCATAATAATAATAATAAAATAATATTAATATTAATACCTTTCTCTTCTCTATAAAAAATATATTTAATCAGATTCTCAACTTAAATAATAATATATATATAATTCTCCCCACCAAATTACTATTACTAATCATTAATAATATAATACTTTTTTTTTAAATTTTTTATATAATAATAAATGATGAATATATATATAAAAATCATAAATGTATTGTTTTTTTTTGGTTTTTTTGTTTTTGTTTTGTTATAATATATATTTACAAAAAAGCTGTATATATATATATATATATATATATAAACATAAGCATATATATGATAATAATAATGGTATAGTTATATGAATATTATGGATATAATATACGTTTTTTTATGTTTACGGTTTAATATTGCTACTGCTGCTGCTTATAATACATTTTTGCTTTAAGATCCAACCAAGGCAATGCAGATTCCAATTGTTCATCAGTGAAATTTTCTTCGCAAGCTTCTTGACAAGCTCGATAAAACTCTGTGACATTAGTTGTTTTATTTGATGCCAAAACCCGGTCATAACATTGTTTACTCAAGATTTTAAGCATATATGCAAACCGCATATCACGTAATGTACCAAATGCCACTGGAATACGATGGGAACGTTTAAGTTCAGCCACAAAATCCTCAAACTTCAATGTTGGTTTGCAATTTGGATTGTGTGTAAGGGCAATTTGTTTCCGACGATTGTTCTCGCTTGTTACTACACTCAACACACGATTCACTCGAGTATGTACTTCCTCTATGGTGGACATACTTAGTTTAGGAGCTTTTACTCTTTGTTTAATTATGTATGTTGAATGATTTGCGGATGATGATGGAATGTTTGCGTTGGTATTATTAGCAGTATTATTAGTAGCATTAGCAGTATTAGTAGTAGCAGTAGGAATAATTACATTTGAATTATTATCATTATAATCATGAATATCGTCATTATTATCAATACTATAATTGCGAATATTATGATTATAATTACGAATATTATGATTATTACGATCATGATTGTTACGATCATGATGATTGTGACTAGCATGATTGTACTGGTGACGTTGATTATTTAGATTTTGAATTTCATCTTTTTCATTATGATGGTGGTGGTGATGATTTATTTTTTGCTTTTTAGATTTTTTTTGAGGATTCATTAATCTTGAAGCAATTAAATCATGATTGACCAATACACTTCTAGAACTAGATGAAGATGGTGGAGTTGAATAGGGAGATGATGATAATGATGATGAAGTGGTTGAAGAAGAAGATGATAAAAAAGATCTTGGTGTGTGAAAGGCAGAACTAATATTAGAATTACTTTTTTTACGTAATTCTTGTATACCATGCCAGAGTAACAAGCTATTGCCGCGACTAATCTCAGAACCATTTTTACCCCGAATGTCATGAAGAAATTGTTCGTTGTCAATCAATAAAAGAATGTCAGGATCATCTATATCATTATCTATCAATATAGGTAAAATTGATTGAAGTCTTATATGTGTCATTGCAGTGAATTTCATCAATAATCCTTTTAATTCTTCTATAGATGATGGTTCTTCAATATCATCGTAGTCCTAAACAACGGATCATTAATTGTTAATTAATGATAAACGATAACAACGACATCACAAGAAACCAGTAAAATAATACAAAAACATACAGAACAAGCTTCGCTCCTACTAATATCCATATTATCATCAAATTCTGAATCATCATAATCTCTATTTATGGATGAAGGAACAGGTGAATCGATGGGTGTTCTATAGGAAAAGCTATTGCCGCCACTGCTATTATGGGTTTGCTTACGTTTATTTTTACTGCTATCTCTCTTATTATTATTATCATGATTATAATTATAACTATTAGTTTCAATCATCATCGTATCATCAGTGTGTGGTGATGAAGGTGTTGTGGTACTGCTGATACTAGAGCTGCTACTACTACTACTAATATTATCTTCTAATTGAAAATTAGACTTTGGTGTGGGTAAAGAAGCATTTGAAGAAGGACAAAATCTTTCAAACACAAAAGTTATTGGTGATTGTTGCTGCTGCTGCTGTTGTTGTTGTTGTTGCTGTTGTTGCTGCTGCTGCTGCTGCTGTTGTTGTTGTTGTCTTAGCATTAATAATTGTTGATGTGGCCTATTTATTGTAGAGTTGAGTTGTTGATGTGTAAAACCGTTGTTATTATTATTGACACGAGTCGTACATGATGAACTGTAGTCGTTGACAGGTGATAAAGGAAGATTTAGTGCATGAGGATTAATAAGTTCAATAGCAGCAGCATCATTGTTGTTATTATTATTATTATTATTAGAAGAAATTCTAGTAGGGCGATGTTGATGTTGGTTTAAAGGTGTCTTGTGACGGCGATTAGCTCTTGTAGCTATATTATTATTGCTGTTATTATTACCGTTATTGATGATTATGGCAGTAGTAGGGATTGTAGTATTTGAGGAAGAAACTAAAGTAACATTTCTAGAGTCCATTTGAATATATAAATATAATAATTAATTAATGAAAATATTTATAAATATTATTATATTTTATAAATAATAATTAATTTATACTATATATATCTAAAGGAAGTATTTATTTATTATAAAAAATTTTTTTTATTTATTAAAAGGGCTGATTTTTTTTTTAAAAAAAATAATGATAAAATAAATTAACACATATATATTATACATTTTTTTGTGTTATGATCATGATTTTTATTTTGTACACTTGTATATATAAAGGTTTTTAGGAATGATGGTCTGGGAACATTAAAATAATAACTCTCACCTCAATCAATCAATCCCAACTCTCACACACAATATATTATAGACAATCCACATAGAATTCACACGCAAAAAGAGAGACAAAAAAGCAATATAATAATGGTGACATGACGATTTATTTTAATTGCGTTAAGTTTATTGGATGGAATCTGATTTTTTAGGCAAGTAATAATCTTGTTATTTATTATTAATGCCAGAATAAAAATTTATTTATAAAATTGGATTAAATGATTATTATTATTATCATTATGATAAAAGCGAAGAAAATTTAAGAAAAAAAATTTTTTTATATTTATAATTTTATATGCAATTTTATATATTTATTATGATTTAATATTAATATGGTAATAATAAATAGTCACGGTTAATACTTAATCGGCAAGCCCATTGATTAGTTTCGTTTTCGATATTTTATTTTCCAAGAATGTTAGTATGTAATCTTCAAGCATAACTTGTGCTTTTTTCAAAATACTTTGTAATGTAGTTCCTTGGTTCCATGGTAGA